TATATATATATATATATATATTATATATATATACACACACATATATATATATATATATATATATATATACGCGCCCCAAGACGCCTCCAGGAGAGCCCAACAGGCCTCCGAGAGGCCCCCAAGAGGCCCACTGGAGGCCCTCAGGAGGTCGTCCCCATCATGTTCCCGGAAGGCGGTCCGGGAACATGATTCCGCGCCTTGGAGGAGTATTCTGCGCTTTCCGAGGCGCCTTCCGAGGCGCCTTGGACGACGTACGTATGTTTCTATATATTGTCCTTCTCCTGTGTACACAATCCTACATGTCTTACGTATGTATATATATATATACACACATATATAGGCCCACTGGAGGCCCTCAGGAGGTCGTCCCCATCATGTTCCCGGAAGGCGGTCCGGGAACATGATTCCGCGCCTTGGAGGAGTATTCTGCGCTTTCCGAGGCGCCTTCCGAGGCGCCTTGGACGGCGTACGTATGTTTCTATATATTGTCCTTCTCCTGTGTACACAATCCTACCTGTCTTACTTATGTTTCTATAAATTTATATATGTATGTATATGTATATGTATTGTATATGTATATGTATGTATGTATGTATATATATGCATATACATATATATATATATATACATATATATATACACATATATATATATATATATATATGTACCCCTTCCCCAAGCCCTCCCGAGTCGTGCCACTTCCTTCCACGTGTTTCAATCTCTTCCGTGTATATATATCTATATATATAGATATGTGTGTGTATGTGTGCATATATATATATGTGTATATATATATATATATATGTATATAGGCCGTCCAAGAGTCTCCCAAAAACCGTTCCAAGACGGCCGAAGAGGCCCCCAAGACCGCCCCAGGACGGCCCAAAAGACCCCCAAAATCGTCCCAAGACGGCCCAGGAGAGCCCCAAGATGGCCCAGGAGCCGCCCAAAACGGTTCCAGGAGAGCCCCGACAGGGCTTCAAGACTGCCTAAGCGAGCCCAGCGGGCCCCAAGAGGGCCCCGCGAGGCCCCAAGAGGCCCCAAAGAGGCCCCCAAGAGCCTCCCCGGAGGCCCCCAGAGGCCCCCAAGATGCCCAAAAATGGCCCTGAGCGCGCCCCAAGACGCCTCCAGGAGAGCCCAACAGGCCTCCGAGAGGCCCCCAAGAGGCCCACTGGAGGCCCTCAGGAGGTCGTCCCCATCATGTTCCCGGAAGGCGGTCCGGGAACATGATTCCGCGCCTTGGAGGAGTATTCTGCGCCTTCCGAGGCGCCTTCCGAGGCGCCTTGGACGGCGTACGTATGTTTCTATAGCTTGCCCTTCTCCTGTGTACACAATCCCACATGATATATATATATATATATATATATATATGTATGTACGTATGTATATATGTATGTATGTATGTATGCATGTATGTCTGTCTGTCTGTCTGTCTGTCTGTCTGTCTGTCTGTCTGTCTGTCTGTCTGTCTGTCTGTGTGTATGTATGTATGTATGTATGTATGTATGTATGTATGTATGTATGTATGTATGTATGTATGTATGTATGTATGTATGTATGTATGTATGTATGTATGTGTGTATATTTTTTTGATATATGTATATATGCATACATGTATGTATGTACATATATATATATGTATACATATCGGAGTCGGGCCCAGGGGCGGCCCGGGGCGGTGCCTGTAATCTCCATGGGGGGTGCAGGGCGCCCCCGGGAGCGTCTTGGTGTTTTTTTTGGGCTCCGGGGCGCCTGATGCGTATCTGACCGGGACCCCCCCCGGGACCACCCCGGGACCCCCCCGGGACCCCCCCCGGGACCCCTCCCCCCCTCGGCGGGGGAGGGATCAAAGGGAAGGAGCTTCCCTTCGACTGGCAGGCTTGAAGAGGAGGGTGCAGGGAAATGGGACGACGGAAACGCAGGGAAAGAGGACACCGGATGCGTCGACTGAGCGCACGTCGACAGGGGGTCCACACGCCGACAGGGTCGGCGGATTTATCTGTTTATGTATATCGATACAATGTGTGTTTACATTTATATGTAGACAGATGTGTGTGTATACACAGTTGCCTCAGACAGCATTGCCTGCACTTTTGGACCCATGCTGGGGTTACTAAGGTATTTGGTGGGTATGCCAAGGACTCGCCACGTTGCCACCTGTTGCCGCCTGTGGTGGTATGCTCGGGATTCGCCCCGCTGCCGCCCGTGGCTGCCCCCTGCCGCCTAGGGGGGTGTGCCGAGGATTCTCCACGCTGCTGCCTGTTGCCGCTCGTTGTCGCCCGTTGCCGCCTCCTTACCGTGCCGTTGCCGCTTCGTGCGCTGTGTGGGTGATCATGCCGAGGATTCGCCGAGTTGCCGCCCGTTGCCACGCGTTGCCGCCCGTTGGGGTGTGCCGAAGATTTGCCATGTTGCCCCCCTTTGCCGCCTGTGGGGGCTTGCCGCATGCCGAGGATTCGCCACGGTGCTGGTGGCTGTCGCCCGCTGCCGCCAGTTGCTCCTCCTTGCGCAGGGGCGGGAGGGTGGGGTCTGGAACTTTCACTTCGGGGGAGGGGCATCTTCCGGGTTCGGAGGGGACCTCTGGATTTTTTTTCGTGGCGGGGTGTCCCCCCAGTTTCGGATATCCCTCGTTCTGAAGTTTTCTCGAGGCCAGAGATCTTGAAGGTGCTCTCTCAGGAGTTGGCTCCTCGCCCTCGGCGGAAGGCTGGCAGAGTTTTTTCAGGGCTCGCCGCCTCAGACTTATCCTGGGTCTGTTGCAGCTCTCGACTCCCTCTCTGATGCCGCACTGGCTCCGTGGGTTGCGTTTTTGGGGCCCGCAGCGGGCCCCCGCGGAAGCGCAAGCTGAAAACTGCCACCCTGCTCTCCCGCGTGAGAACCCAGCTGGAGTCGCCGCCCAGCTGGAGGCGCCGCCGCGGCTACGGCGACAGTGATGCCCACCCCCCCGCGTCGTGTCTCTTCCGAAGCGTGGACTTCCGGACGTCTCGACCCATCCCCGGACTGGCTTTTCATCCCGAGTCGCTTTTTGACGACCTTGGGGCCCGGCCAGGGCCCCTGGAGGCCGAAAATGCGCGATGAGGTCTAGGGCCGCCCGTCGCCCTCCGCCGCCGCCGCCTCCGCCGCGGCGACTGCGACGGCGGCGCTTCTCCGCAGAGCTGCGGGCTTCGGAGGCGCTCGGCCCCCGCCCGCGTCCGCGGCCCAGCTGCTGGCACGCCTCCGGGAGTCGCCCGCGGAGCTGCCCGCGCTGTCGCACGCCAAGAAGCGGCGACCCCGGCGCCGCGACGAGGTCCGCCGCCGCCCCCTCGAGGGAGGAAGCGCGATGGCCACGACGAAGATGTCACGGGATCTCGTCGACGCCGATCTTGGTCCTGGTTTATGGTGGCCGTCGCCGATTCGCGAAGATGATTCATACACTGACGGTGACCAGGATGCACGATGACCAGGATCGACCTCGACGCTGCCGCGTTCAGTCTTGGTCACCGTCATCGTGCTCTTTCCATCCGCCCCATCCAGCGCGCCCGCCGCCCGCCTGGCGTGGTCCGCGCTCCCCTAGGTGGCCGGCAAGTGCCCTCAGGGCTGATCCTTGCAGATTAGTTGAGGCGTCCGGGTTGTCTGCGCTTGTCAGCCTTTTGGGATGCCATTTCTCGGCCCTGGGGCCGTCAACAATTTCGCTCGGTCGGGAAGCAGCGCCGGCCCATAGGGAAGATGTCGAGACGCGGGCGTGTCGTGATGGGAGGGCGAGAAGTGTGTGGGGGGGGGATCGAGGGTTGCAGGAGCGGGCTCTGAAAGGAGTCCTAAAGGGGCCCCCTGAGGCCCGGAAGGTGCACGGAAGGTGCTCATTTCTTCACCCCCCGTTCATTGCCCTCTCCATGAAGCAGCGCCAGAAGGACCTCTGGGTGTCCACATGGTGGAAACACCATGACGTCGAGAGTCAGGGGTTCACAGCTGGCACAAGGTTTTTCAAGAACGGCCTTAGCATCGGATGGGGTGCCCTGACGTGTGTGCTTCGTGTTTGGGCTCTCCACCTCGGAGTGTTTGGGTATCTCCGTGGGGCCTCGGGCCTTCGGCGAAGGAGCTCGCGTTCTCGACCCACTTTTTTGTGCCATGCTTTGATGCAGGAGGCTTGCGCCGTTCCGCCGCCCTCAGAAGAGGAGATGTGCGGCATCCGATCTCGTACGCGGCGTTTGCCGCGTCCCGTCGTGCTGACTGCGTGCAGTTGTAGTTGTTTCTGGGGGGTCCCCTCTTCCCTCACGTCTGTTGCGGGACTCCTTGGGTGCCTTTTGCAGGCCTCGGGGGCGGTCCCTTGGGAGCCTTTTCAGGGCTCCTGGGTTTTTGGGGGAGGCCCTCCGAGGGCTGCGCGGGGGTCTCTTGGGGGCCATGTTGGGGGCCATGTTGGGAGTCTTGGGGGCCATCTTGTGGGGGACGGCCCCCATGGCCCCCGCGAGTCCCCGCCCTCTCTGGCCTCTCTGGCCCCTCTTGGGGCCCTCTCGAGGGCTTTGGGGAGAGGAGGATGAGGAACAGGAGGGGGACCTCTATCCTCTTCCTGCCTCTTCTTCGCGACGCCGTGGAGCCCCGCCTGAGGGCAACACGAAGGAAGTCACGATCAACAGACCACTCGATCAAGCTGAGCAGGAATCTCAGATTTCAGGACCTCAGACAACAATCCACTGTACAACCGACGCAGAGCTTTGCTTCCGTGGGTCCCAGGACGGCCACAGGCTTTCAACACCTCTTTCGACTGCCTCGACACATGGGCCCCACACCTCAAGCAATCCTTTTCCCTCCTCCTCCTCCAGCTCCTCCTCCAGCTCCTCCTCCAGCTCCTCCTCCAGCTCCTCCTCCTTTTGCTCCCCCTCCTGCTCCTCCTCCCCCTCCTGCTCTCCCTCCTCCTCCTCGTCCTCCTCCTCCTCCTCCTCCTCCTCCTTCTCCCTTCCTCCTGCTCCTGCTCCGTCCCTCCTCCCCGGGCCTCCATCGACGACCTCGAGGTCCTCCTCGGCGCGCTCCACAGGCCGCCCCCCTGGCGGAGGCTCCGGCGCGAGGGGGCTGGCCCGCCATGACCGCGCGCGTGGGGCGCCATGGGTGCCAGGCCGCCGCGGGGGCAGCAGGCGCGCCGTCGTCGTCGTCGTCGTCGTCGTCGTCGTCGGCGGCGGCGGCGGCGGCGGCGGCGGCGTCGCCGTCCTCG